TCCTCCTCCTCCTCCTCCTCCTCCTCCTCCTCCTCCTTCTCATCACCATCATCATCAGCAGCAGCAGCAGCAGCAGCAAATCATCAGACTTCTCTGTGACCTCACTGCCTTTAATAAACAAAATTACAGTGCATTTTGAAACATAATGCAGTCTCGTGCGGATAAGGTACATTTTGGTCACCAAGCCGACAAGTTCACTCGGTGTGTTTATTTTCCACTGGCCTGACTTGTGGTGAATGACGATGCTGCCATAACTCATGGACAGGCATCAAACCTCATCAACGGGTTGTCGAATGACTTGAGGTCGCTGGAAGACCTGCCACCAGAGAGTTAAGGAGGAGATCTGCAATTCTACTGAAGGGAGTCGTTTGTAGCTACCGCCTGCACAATGCATAGCAATAGCGCAGCTACACACGCTGGCCCGCCAAACTAGCAATAGTTCCGTCACATTTCGAGAAGGAAAAGTGTACTTTTATGCTCTCCTCCATTTTTTTTCCTCCTGATCTCTCCACCCTCCAATCTGACTCACGCCAGTTCCTTTTAGTGCAAAAGACCATGTGAATTTTATATTTCCTAAAAAAATGATTACTTCCGGCATTATAAAGTAGGCCATGCACACTCCAGGAATTTCTTTGGTTCCTTATTTGCACCAACAAGGCCCCTTCAAGACATCGAAGGTTTGCTGTTAAAACAAAAACTTTGGTTTCAGTTAGCGAGACTTTAGTGCTTCCAACTTAAATTTAGGGCCGCGACTAATTTATGAGGCGGAAGCGGCAAACTTCGGACCAATTCGCAAAGAGGTAGCAAATCGGAGCTTTGTAAAAGAAGAAAGCAGCGTGAGTAATCGCTTTTCCTTCACTATTTTTAGTGAGACTAACAGGATTACTACTTATTAAAGACATGTATATTGCTCAAAGAACAAATATGAGGATACAGTATTGCAAGGCAGGTTCTCTGCAGCCACTATTGATGATAAAGCCACTAATCACGTTTTGCTGCTTAATAAACGAATTGACATTGCAGATCAAGTGCCTAAATGAGTGTCTGCATACAAAAGGCTGAGGTCTATGGTGCAAAAAATGGCTGATTTTATTAACACTCCAATGCTAAGCTGTGCGGCATCCGCACGATCAAAGTTCTCCCACAGGCATGATATATGCACCACTGCTACTAAAACAATTTCAGTAGGATAAATATTTGTTTTTTTACTGAGGCGCGAGACTGATCAACTCTAAATTGCGAAATCATTGATAAGACGCGAATGAATGAGAGCCAAGTCTTTGTTTCAAATGCTGCTCCACAATCCTGCGCAAATGCAATGGCTAAAAAGATCTGAAGTTTTGCGAATTAACGGAAGCGTATCTCACGTGTGCTTTTAAATAAACTGGTTCTGTTAACCATTCCGATCGGATAATGGTCCTAAATAGGTCGATTCGAGAGAACTAAACTTGCAAACAGTGCCATTACTATCTCCGTCCCGTCGGTTAGAAACAGTGTTGCCAGCATGATTCTACGACTTCGTTCATTGACACCAAATACCGGTGCAGGAAGAAGGCGTGACTCTTTACCACCGTCTCCAAGAAAGAGGTAGGTGACAATCCTCAGACTCACGATTTTCTTTCTTCAATTTGTTTATTAATAGAAATCCAACTCCCAATTACACTAATAAGTTCTCGTTCAATTAAACACTGTTAACCCGATTGCTCTGTCTGCATCTTGCAGATGTTTAATTTGAGCACTCCAAATGGAGTAGGTCCTATGAAATTTGCAGATATTATCCTTGATCAAAGGAATTGGGCTGAAATTGGAAGATAATAAAATCATCTACTCAATTAAATGAGTAGTGTATAATCCGTGTGCTTGTTAAAGACACTCAACCAGTCCAGTCCACGCATACAGAACGCACCACTATATCGAGTAACAAATTTGGCCTTGACCTCGATGAACCGCTTAAGCTACGATAAAACCGAAACTCTGAATGAATCGCAGATTCTACTCGCTCAAAACTAAATAGGCACACTTGTTACCTGTAAAACTTCCACTACCCCCCGACGGGTACTCATGGCCAACCCATTAAAGTCTCAGTGTAACAATTTCCAAAGGCCCCCAATCGAAGTAGGCTATGGTTTTAGAATGGAAGCAAAGCCGAAATTGCGGTACTCACCCGCCTCAAGAAATCGTTTCGACACATTCGATAAATCAAAATGAGCTATTTTAGTTAGCACCCTCAGCTATGTCTCCACACGTAGTGGAAGAACATCAGAAGTTCAAATCTCGTAGGAGATTTGCTTGATCTCTTTTGACTCTGAGCAGGAAGCATCATTCATTCGCTCCAATACCTAGTGAGAGGGAAGCTGTACAGTTGACAAAGCGATGTCTGCTTCCCGTGGTCAGATAATTGCCGTCATCATTAGCACAACAGCAAATAGTCAATGAAGTGAAACTCCTTTATGCACATTCGCAGCTATCTGTTATATGACAGTTGTGTTAGTAGGGCGTAAATTGCGGGTGAAATGCGGCCAGTGGAAACCACGTTGACCCAGATCAAGCAATGCATTCCTTACGGAGGTAAAGACTTTGGAGTAAGCTCGCCAACGGATTAACCGTTACCTCCAGACCGACCGTAAACTCTCATTGGCTCCACTTTATTTTCTCAAACAGTGTACCATGTCCACGGACTAGGTGAGCCCCAGAGTTGAGTCAAATGCCAACGAAGGGTCGAGTAAACCGCCCTCCAACGACCTCTATGGCGAGTGAGATGACGACGAGATTTCCGAGCTCCTGACCTTGATCACGCTGACTACGCGGCGGATGGCGATTTCTCCGAGTCTAAGAAGAAAGCAGTTCGTAATTAACGCACTAATATTTCGCAGCATTCCATATCCCACTCACTCTAGCTACAAAATCCTCGGTCTTCTATTCTGTACATTCCACATGTTAACACTTTCGCTGCTCCTTTTTTCCTATAAAAGAAGAGCGGACAGGCTTTGGATGCGAGGACCTCAGATTGCGTCTGATAGATGGACAGTAAGCCACTTGAATAGACCGCCCTAATGCAAATGCAAAGGGTACAACTAGGTGGATCAGTTTCTCTGAGGTTCAAAAGTTAGTGTAGAGAACACCTAAACTATCCCAAGGGCCTGTGAGTCGACGCTAATCAAAAAAAAAATAATGCCGTGCACGGAACTGCCGTGCCAACAAAGTAGAACGACATTTGCATGCCTAAAGCCATTGCACACAAATGTGTGCGCGCACAAAGCTAAGAGAGCATAGAGGTTTACTCTCAGTCCATCGGCGCCAAGTATTGTAAACAATTACAACAGCGCCATTTTGCGTCAAAGATAAAATGCCTACCCCGAAATGACTTCACCACGACCTTCTCGAGAAAAGTTCCAGCAAAATTAAAGTGGCAAGAATAAGTAGCACGCTCGCAAACCACTTTCAATGAGACCAAATGTCGTGTTTCACACACCATGCTTAGCTCCTCTAACGCCCTTCTCAACAATTTAAAAGCAAGGCGTAAATAATCATGAAACAATAGAAGCAGGTAAATAAAAGTATGGCAAAATATGAAAGCAGCAACACCTTAGCAAGAAAAATCATCTAACCGTCATAGAGCCAATGCGCTCCTGCGCTCATGCATGGAAGAGTCTTGAACTCCTTCGAGGCGATGTAACCCTTCAATGTTGGCAAATTCTGAAAAGAAGGACATTCGAAGTCATCAGTCAAAGTCTTCACTCACACTTCCAACAGTTGCAAATAGTTAGAGCAAATATCTCCAAACGCGACAAGAAGGACTACAGACTTGGATACCCCTTTAAACACGTTGGTTCAAACTTAGCTCTAGCAATACCTCACACAGACTGAAGTCGGGATAAATGATCTGCAAGGATACAAAGTCTGGGTTAAGCAAGAGAAATGCTATCCATGCACCAAGGGATCACCTTTCCTACTTATTGGCATGAACTAACTAACCACAGACGAAACTACGAAAAACGAGAAAAGGATAGTAGATGGTAAAGGAGTGATGGAAATGTGCCTGCCTTTTCACCCGTAAGCCATTCCTTATCACTCAAAAGGTTTCGAAGTTTATCTACTTTTGTCCGAGAATCTCCAAGAAAGCCCACCTTGATCTCTGCCTGAGGATTGTAAATGTAAGAATGTCTGAAATCGAAAACAACCTCCATGATTTCCTAGAGAGTCGACCTGTAAAGATGGGAGCACAGGATGCATTTCTAAACGAAATCTGCAGATCATACACCTCGCAATAAAGTATATGCAGCACTGCACGCCGCTTTTGTAAACAGAGATTAGAATCTGAACACATCAGAAGTCATCCTGAAGTCACCACCAAGGTAATGGGGCAACTACATGAGAAGCTAGCAGATCTAACATAAAGCGGAGCTCCACATTTAGAAATTCCAGACCAAGCAAGAACTTCTCAGATGGCCATTCACCATGATCAAAAGTTGGAGCTTTGGAAAGTAGATAAGACACAAATACTCGTAACTACCAGGACCAAACCTGTATTGTGTCAATAAACTCTACTCTTGGGTGCTTCAACAAAAGACGACTCGGTTCTCCAGGCTACGCAAGAACAAAATAAGACAAGAGCAGAACGGTTCAAGCAAATCGCTTTCCCCAACGTAAAATATTACGAAAATTTAATGGCAAAGTAAAACCTCGTGTTTCTGACATGGATGCCATTAATGTCAAGATTACCATAAAGCAACAACAACAACGGTAGCTGGACTATAGAGAACAGTCATTGACGTGTGTGCTATAACAATAAATATTTTTTACTTGCCCTCTACTATCACAATAAGCCAACGTAGGCACCATTGCAGCACTCGAAGACAGACACACGAACCAAATACCTCTTCAAAATGAGTGCGCCTTCCCGCATCTGTCCCACACGGCCTTCATAACCAGTGTTTAATGCATATGCAGCTCTATTTTGTCGAGACCATTTAGCGTTAAAACCATAAGTATAAGCAATCGTAAGGTGTGAAGTGATACGCTGCAGCGCCTTATAACCCTCTTACAAATTAAAGAGAGAGTGCCCGATAAGGATGCAAGACTTAAAAAATTATTGGGAATAGGACCGACGAAAGCAGCCAAAGCAACAGGATCGTCTAAGTGAATTCGACAGAAAAAGGCAGTCAAGCGGAGAAGGACGAGGGTTCTTTGAGTGTTCTCTGGTGTTCATCTTGGTCTCACTTGCATAGGGTGGTCTTCGGACCAATCCAAAATTTAAACTCTTATTCTTCTTAAAACCGCAAGCATTTTTAGTCCTACTTAAAGCCTTAGGCCAAGTGGGGAGTCTTAGGCTGTTATAGGCAAAATCATCCAACCTTCATTTAATGACATATTGGTAAAACTATTAATCCCACTTCTGTAATATATACTGGATTGTTTAAGTGAACATTTTGCGGGAGGAGGTGGGAGCCAATTGGGAACACAGGTCACGTGCACGAAGACGGTTGGAAGCCTCTCTCCGATCGATATCTCTTATTCGGTCCATCTGCGTTACAATCTCCATTCCTCTTGTGTCTAATGCTAAATAAATCATCTGCTACCAATCCGCTCTTGAAGTGCGTGGTTCAAGGGTAGGAATTTCCTACACTGGTGGCAGTGCCGGTAGGCATCCCTCCCTCTAAGAAAGGCACAGATTTTGATGACTGGCTTTTTTACAAAGGCAGAGCCCAAGCTCTACGGTCCTGCACGGAGAGTATCATTGTTACTCCGTGCCTTGCCTATGACCTACGTTGCGAAGCAATGGACACGGGTATCATGCTTTCCTCGGAAATCGAACAGTGCTGTGAGGCTCTAGTCAAAGTGACGTCCCTCCAGAAGAAAGAATTCTTGGCTTAAGACTTCACCGGTTACAAAAACCGGGAGAGAATGAAGACTCCGCGAGGAATCTCCAGTTATTAGCCAAACAGGCATTTAAGGATTGCTGCCCCTTGTGGGTTGCCTCATGAGCATCGGCGCAGTTCAATGGGGGTGTGCGTCCACCTGCCTTGGGAGAACAATTAGTGCACATGAGAACCAGGAGATTGAACCGCCTCACCGACGCGGCACTCTCCAAGCGCCAGGTGCTCCAATTCTCAACGGAGTTCAACACCCGGTTTCGCCCGTGGTCTCCCAAAAGATAGCCAACTACTGGTGGGCAAAGGCGCGCTCTGAAGCCGTACCTCAGTACAAAGTAAGACAGAATATTTGTCGTGTTTGCTTTCCTCACGATCTACTTTTATGCATGCACGGAGCAAGATGGAAGGTCACACATGTTATTTCCTGGATCCTGGGGCAGTCCGTCTCCTATCAAACCCATAAGCCTTCCCCGTAGTTTGCAGCAAGGTTAATATTACCACACCGGTTACCATACTACGCTCTGCAGAAGGAAAAGAAATCTCGATAATAGGGGAGACTCCTACCAGAGTCAATTTGGGACGCGAATCGCGTGCGCGAGGACAGTGTGGAGTCTCTCTCCAACTGGTATCTCCTATTCGTCCCATCTGTATTTCAATCTCCATTCTTTCTGTATCTAATGCCAAATAAATCGTTTCCAATCAACCCTCTCTTGAAGTCTGTGGTTCAAGGGCAGGAGGGTAGGCGGGCAGTTCCTACGGCTTCTAACAATATTAGCTTACGTTAATTTATGAGGTGCTGTGATACGATTTCACCGCTAATGCTGGTTCACTTTAGCAAATTCGGAATTTGAGGAATCCGCAGTGTGGATTGAGGACTTTCTGCTATATCCAACTCGGCCTCATGTTTGCATTGAGAGGGGGAGGTGTTCTGCTTTGGCATGGTCCAAAGTGCGCAAACGAAGTGCCGCGTACAATTTCCCGATTCGTCAATGTGGAAATCTATTAATGTTTTGACGTTGACAAAAGTGAAGTCATCTTGTTATTTTATGGGGATTGCGCACCACGTCCCATAAAATGGCGTATCTTACAGTGAAAGGCAACTTGGCGGGACTTATCTCGCCCCTAATGACATTGCTGAGCTAAACTAAGTGGTCTGTCCTTCATAGCGAGTTTATCTTGCACAAAATTATTCACTTTAAACGGCAGTCAGTCCGTTGTGTATGCAACTGGGTCAAAATTAATACATAACTGTGTAGCTATTTTAAAAAGACTCATCTCACATGTACGAATTTATCTATCACGAAAGTCAGCTGAGGGGTTGAAACACCTCCATTCTTCCTTCATCCATCTTTGGTTCAAGCAGCTGAGCTTGTCTACGCTCGCCACACAACGGGTGCCTTGACTTGAGTGATTGTTTTTCGGACATCGCCGGTTTACGATTCGCTGGGGGGGACGACTACGTAAAGTGTTGTGGGGTAGGCAAGTTTCAACTTCACCAGCACTTCGAAAATAAGAAATGTTTGCTCTTGTGAGCGGTTTAAATAAACTGGCTGCAGGTTCTACTGCTATGAGTGCGGTCAGACAATCACATTGTTTATCGAAGACAAAAACAACGGCTCTAAACACTTACCTATCGCCCCTATTTTATGCGGCCACGCCTATTGCTCTGCTCTTACCTCCGCTAGTCCTGCAGCCGCTGAATCACGACTTCCTTCGGCTTTGGAAGCAAAAAAAAAACTCACAAGTCACAGCTAGCGCGCCTCCTTCTACCGAAGAAGTCAGACTGATACCGGGTGTATCATTGGCTTTTTTATTTTATAACAGCGGCCACCGACTAACCTAGTCTCTCGCCTTGACAGGAAAACGCACTTTAGATCTGTTCCTATTGAGCTTGATTTTATGGGTATCTCCATCAGATTGTGCGTTGAGGCAACTACGTCCACTTAAGTCAGCAATGACCGACGACATCTGTCACCTCCCTTTCAGCTTTGCCTAGCAGCATTTAATGTTCTGCATTTCCATCTGTCAATGCAACAAGTGCTTATGGTTTTCACTCTTAGCTTTTAGCACTTTAGCCCTCTCATTGGACTCTGCTGATAATGGAAGGAAAATAATGAATTCAACCTTTCTGTATTGTGTTTAGTCGACCAAGAAGAGGCACCCCGTTGGCTTCTCTACAACCCTAAAGCACAACCGATCACGACACCCCCATCTGCTCGCCTCTTGCATGAGGATCACAATCAACGGTTAGAATGTCCATTGTTTAAGCGGTGCCTTTAATTACCCAAAAGCCGTTGCAAAGCTCAACTTGAATGCACCACAAATAAAGGCGGGAACATTGCATCTCCGTTGTCCCACAAAACACTCCTTTAAGGTGGATATCTGCGCAACAGGGGTAGTGTTTTTTTCTTACAATATAAAGCCCCTCTTGGAGCATGAACGCAGTGCTTCCAGGCGTATCCCATTTGCTTCGTCGAAGTAGTGATCACAAAACAGTGGATGCGATGCCCAAACCCGACAAATGACAAGCGTCACAAAGATTTAACCCATGGCACAATAACTTGGACTGCAGCACAGACCACCACAGCATCAGAACAAGGAGCACGTTGAAGGTGGCACCTCAAGTCCTGCTCATATACGCACACCAGTCGCATCAACTCGTACAACCGCCACCAGTTGCCTTCTAGCTTAGAACCTCAGACCACGAACGCCGCTTCCTGAACCTTCCCAGCTCTCATCGACCACCTCAACTGGTCAAAAAAAAAGTCCAACGACATGCGATAGACATGATTTTACGCGATTTACTCATTAAAAGGTGCAAGCAAAAGAAAGCTCCACAATTCTTAGCAAAGCATCGGGAAGAGACGACGAACACAACAACCTAACTGTCACCGCGCCAGTGTGCACTAGGCCCATGGCAAGATATTGTGTTGAACTCCTTTGACGCCATGTAGTCCTTCAACGCAGGCAAGTTCTGCAAAGCAATAGAAAGCCACATCCACGCTTAGCGTCGCATAATTCCACACAACACACACAATTCTACCAGCCTTAAGCAGTACCTCAAAACGTGTCAAGTACGCCCGCAGCTTTGGGAAATTCTTCAGGCACGTCGAGTCAAACTTTGTTAACTGGTTCAACAACTCGCACAAGTTGAAATCTGGATAGTTAATCTGTAAAAAAAGAGACGAAATATTCACAAACGCACTTTAATGCAAAAAAAAAACACAAGATGCAAAAAGGACCCAACATCTGCAGAACTAGCAGTATCAAAATAATGCAAAATAATCAAGCAAAAGTTGTTCCCAACCTAACAACTAATGATCAAATAACCAGTAAAAAGTGAAACTACAGAAGTAAAGTAAATTTAAAATAAAACACCACGTAAATGCAAATACCTTATCACCGGTCAACCATTCCTTGTCGCCTAAAAATTTTTCAAAGTTTGGTAATTTTTCCGATAGGGTCTCTAGAAATTTGGGGCTCAGCTTCGCCTGTAAAAATAACAAATACAATGTTTAGTAAGAGTATAAAAAACTGACCTAATTGTAAAAATGCATTCAAGCGAAATCCACTTACGAAATCAGGACTATAACAGGTATGGGCAAAGTGAATGCGCAAGTCCATAACCTCGCACTGAATCATGTGCAGCACGGCGCGACGCTTCTTGCAATCCGGGACTGAAGCATAAGCAACGCATACAACCAATACGATTAAAGGGGAGAAAATAGTTCAAAAATGCAATTAGTATGAAGCTCACTCATTCCGTGCCTATCGGCAATGTACTCCAAAATAGCGCCAGATTGAGTCAATTTGAAGTCCCCGTCTATGTAGTAAGGCAACTATACAAAATGTTTATTGAAGGCAAAGTAAAAAGGAGGCCTACATTTGGAAAGTCAAGACCTAGAGAGAATTTCTCCGACAGCCATTCACTACGATCGTAGGTCGGAGCTAAAAGTAAAGCATAAGACGCAAGCACCCCATTCACCTGGTCCAACCTTATATCGCTTGTCGTTGTACTCAACTCCCAGGTATTTCAACAGAAGACGACTCTGTTCTGCAAGCTGCGCAAAAAAAGGAAATCTCATACAGAAACCAAACTAAGTGTAAACACTTGTACATGGCACTCGACTAAGCTCAAAGCCAAACATGAAATATGGCAATAAAGCTGCAGCTTCGTAGATTTAACGATGCTTCTTTCGACTTAATTAGCAGAACTACAAGTACAAATCTAACCTTGCATTTTAGCAAGATTGTATACACTATACCGTAAACATTTGCCACACATACCCCTCTGATATCCCAATATCCTAGAGTAGGCGCCATCACACCGCAGACACGTAGACACACAGCTAAAGCGACCGCTTAAAAATGGATGGTCAAATTTATAACCCATCCCCATGACCTTCAAAGTTTTATTGCACTTCTTCTGCATTAACGCATTAAAAAAACTTGCACAATGTTGTAACTTGTGACTTTCTAGATGTTATTCGGTTTTCGCTTTTTGATCATTTGCCTTAGATGATTGTAAATAGTACAAATGTTAAGTGTGGTTTGCCCATGTATGACTAAGTTAGGAATCAAGATAACCAGCACCCTAATTGAAGGATTTTCTTAATTCGGCGTATTCATTTGACTGTGTTTTACAAGTGCTGAAAGGTAATGTGGGCAAGGCAATAAGAAGAGTAAACATAACCATAACTTCCGCGCACACTTTATCCGATGGCACTTTACATATATGCATCATCAGTATAGCACCAGAGTGGTTGCTAAGTGAACTTGTTTTCGAAATTCTGCTATTGCAGCTACAGCGTCTCAAATTTTTCCAATTTGTTAAAAAGCTATTTATTTTGTCTGAATGCATGTATCTTAGGTGGATAAGAATGCCTGTCTACCCGTACAAGGGTGGAAAGAATATCAAAGTTACGGATAGGCACCAGGTTGGCGCACAAATAAGATGTTAGAGTAATAATTTCCATTCTTAACTAAGCCATCCCATTTGTGCATCTGTGAAGATTGTTTCCACACTCTGAATGCCACAATTTCACTACTTCGAAAATTTCCACTGGTTGGAAAAAGGCAATGAGTGGGACTGAATGCTTGTAGTCAGAGGTGGAGGAAGGGAAAGGAGAATAGCCTCTGGCTAACCCTGAATGTCAGCTTAGACATTTGGGCGCAAAAACGAATAACATAGGACCAGCAATCATATAAGTATTCAAATGGATACTATGATGCAATACTCTCCGTCTGCTGATAAAACTGAAAGATAGCATTGAGCTAGGTCAAGAGGAATCGCCCATGCGCTCTGCCATCAAGCTGTTGCAATTTATAGCCCTCCTTGTAGAAACTGCCTGTCTACCCTCGTGCCCTTTAAACGCAGCCTTTAAGAGAGGACTGGTTGCAGTAGATTTATTGGGCACTGAATACTGGAGGAACAGGAGCAGGAGTATAGATGCACCGAATAGCCGATAGCATCCGGAGAGGGATTCCTCACGATCCACGCGCACCGGATTTGCGTTCGAATTTGCTTCCCGCATCTCGTCTGCGGAAGCAAACTTAAACGCGCTGGTTCATATTACGCTCCTCTCACCTAAAACTGGCACTTTAAACATTTCCATATATTTTACAACTATATCCATGTTTTCTCCTCATTTTTGCATGCGCTAATCGCATACAGAAAAACTCCGTGCACTCCAGCTTTTACTCCATTATCAGCGTAAATGGACCCCATTAAAGCATTGGAAGTAATCATTTTACTAAACGGTTTATATGCAGTCGAGTATTTGGCTCCTTGATGCGTAGCACAATCTGCATGGCTCTGGCACGAAGTGAGTGATCGTTGCATGTATGCGCCACAAATTATGTGAGTTTAAAATGGTCCTCCCATTCATTACCAATTGGCGGTCGTTCAGTGCACGCTCTTGGCCATTACTAGCGGCTGGACTGGCAACTAATTTATTTGTTAATATTCCATGAAATTGTCACATCGCCACGTAGCACGCGCCATAGCCCACAAATTTTCGGCTTCAACTTCAAAGTCACTAAAAGCTTCTTCTAAGTTAATGGAACCGTGCGCAAGAAATGTTTGTTTCAACAACTTCATAAAAAGCACAAATGCTAAAATGAGCTATGGTTATTTTTAGAACTACCTTTGGCAAGATAAGTGAAGACCGATGATAAAAATTCAGAGGAAGATTCGGAATTATAAAGATAAGAAATTCAAACGCAAATAAATGCAGAGATGACTCACACGCAGAGCGGTTCAGAATACCATAACAGACCTCTACTGCCGATTGCATCGATCTACTGAGTTAATTTTGGGGACAGAGTTTTTAAATTGACAGTGACAGTGACAGTGCCACTTTGCCATCCCTCAGCCATCTACACGATGATCAGCATGTCAGCCAAATCTACGCTATTGTTGACAGTCGGCATCCTTCTATCTCTACAGGCTGAAGCAACATTGGCTCCGAACTGCAGCAGTGAATGCATCGAAGAGGTGACCGTGGAGTACTACAATGACACACTTGGCGGCATCATGGATGGTGGAGGGCTAAGGATTGAGATGGCTTCAAGTAAGTGACAGACTCTGCATCTCTCCTCCTACAACAAAACACTTTAATAATGATCTACTCTTCTCTTTAGCTGCTCCCCAACAACTTCGTTACTGCTTTTGTATAATCTTCGTAATACTCCCCCTTTATTCAGTTTGAGCTTTTTTCATGTCCTTCTCTTACTCAGCGGTCTTTTTAACAAATTTAGACTGCCTCATTTTCTCTCTCCCATCTCCTCGTATGTTTCACATTTACTTTCACCTCAATGATCGACCTTACTCCTCTACTAGTATCTCTACTCTGCCTCCTGTCCTTCAGGCCAAGGGTGGATTTTGCATAGACCCGCAGAAGCGCTTTGTTTACCAACCGAATGGATTAAAGTGGTGATGAGTCATCTACCCATCCCCTGCTGCATGTGTCCGCTGCCCAGGCCACTCGCCCACCCAGCAAATAGTAGATCGATAAATCGATGCGAGCACACATGGCCTTGCTTGCATTGCATTCAATTGGGCTTATTTCATCAAGTAATCAATAAACCGGTGAATTTATGTACGCAACGTTCTCATAGAACCCAATTTGACTTATCTTGCAGGAACACAGACTAATTCCAACCCCTTTATTGAATGCAGTGTAGTAGAAGCCATGCCAGATGTTTTAGAAAATGAGAAGAAAAAGTGTGAGTTACAAAATTGAGCGGCAAAGAAACTATGGAAAGGAAGGAAAGACTTTTGCGTGTTTTCGCATTGTGTTTCGATAAAGTCTTTTATAAGGATCAAGTGAAAAGATATAGTAAAAATTTCGGTTAAAAATGGAGACAGGCTTAATGGCAAAAGGAAATGGAACTTCCCTTCTCTAACATCACATGAGCATTCAATCCAACTAAGCTATGCGGATGGACACATTCGAAATCCTACTTAGAGTGCCATGTTCAACGTCGAATAGGTCAGCTTAATCCATCGCAGTGTCAATATGTTAAAACGAGAGGTCTCTAGTGGAAATGTAAATCGTCAAGAATGATTATTACAACAACAGAATTGGCATCCGTCAATTTGGGCGCGTTCAAGTCAACACTGGTCCATTGGAATTTTTTTCCAAATTTCTCAATCCTTACGAAATTCGATTTTTGTAGACAAGTACAATATAGGAGGGGAAGAAGGCCTAGTAGAATAAAGTAGAAGACAGATTGACCCATTTCTCAAAACAAGTGCCATCATTCATCCCAATCGAGACAAACGATTGACAGTAATTTCGGTTTAAACTAGAATAAGTATGAACTCAACACTCATGTGGTCAACAGAATTCTACAAAGCATTCAATGAAATTCCTTATCCACCTCAAAGAAAATGAATTAGCAAATAGAAACCGCACAAAACACAGCGGCGACGCTTCATTTGCCATTTGAACCCACTAATATAGAAGAGCGGTTCTGAGGCCAAACCATAGCGTTGTACAAAGGAGGAAACGTAAAAGTGCTGCCACACATCCGTACCCATCATGTCACAAAGAACGCGTCCAACTAGCCGAACTCATGCACATGCATGCCTCGGGTGTGGACTTTGTTTATTCCCGTCTTCAAAGCTCAATCCAGTGATTTATCGCCAACGCAGTCGCTACTACCAGTCAAACACACACACACACACACATCCACGATAGCCAATTGTTGAGCCTCTTCTCAAGAGAATCGGTCCAAGTGAAGTGGGACAGAGCAAGCCAAAATCATTTGCCATTGTCCCCTAGCCAGACTAGCCAGCACTGACAAGATGTGTGTGACAGCTGTTTAGGCTGTTGCCGTGCCACTCAATGTGCTGTTTTGAGGACATCCACAACTTGACAGGCAGATGCTCGCTCAGCATCCACCTGACCTCGCCAATAAAGCCTCCTTACGCCAACACGACTCGCACCCCCCTCACTGACGACCACAGCGACGACGGATAGTTGACAGGCCCAAACTGCACACGATGTGAGCCAAATGAGACAAGTTTATAACACCAAACAGCACTGCCATCACAGCGTCGCCCTCAACCACCCAAACTACTGCCCCAAAGCGAAAGGAGCTCCAATGCCCTCACCAGACCTCCGCACCACTGTTGACGTAGGGAGGACACCCCGATTTAAGACGTTCTCCTCTACTCGTTGGCAAACGACAAACCACACACCCACAAACCCTCCACCTCCACAAAAGCCGTGGGGCATGAAATTTGGATCGCAACAGGCTATCCGACACGCTGACCAAAGGCAGAGCTCAGACAAGACCGCAGTTGTTACACAATGTCCTCTTCACCACGCCAAAGGACGATTGACAAATCGTCGATGAATCACCTCTCCTCCCCTCCCCCACCCCCACCACAACCATCAACTGCATCACTGGAGAGACCGCTCCGGTCGCAACTTATCAAACCACCACTTCAGTGCTCCTAGTAGACGCCACATTCCTGCCACTCGCCTGCACCCTCCTCCTCAACCTTCAACGTATGCAAAACTACATCACTAAAATAAAACGACAGCTGAATTTAACAACATTTATTAGCGAAGCGGTTAAGAACATCGATAAAACATCAGCGAAAGGTTAACACGCGAGACCAGGCACAGAGATAAACAACTACGAGTCACCACGCCATTTTGCACTTGCTCCATTACATGGACGCGTTTTGAACTCCTTCGATGCCATGTATTCGCGTAATGCAGGCAAGTCCTGCAATAAAATGTAGCACGTCGAAGCATTTTACACATCGTCTTCGGAAACAAAAATTCAACCAACTCTCCAACTACTCATCCAGTTACCTCGAAACGCTCCAAGTAAGCCTGCAGTTTGGGATACTTCTTCAGACAGGTCGGCTCAAACTTCTTCATTTGGTTCAGCAGCTCGCACAGAGCAAAGTCTGGATAATTGATCTGCAAACAATATGGCAACACAACACTCCACATCGCATACAAGTTACCGCGTCAGAAGCAACAATTACCCTCCATCCACAGACCGCACAATGCCAAATTACCAAAACTCACAACACCCACTAACAAACCATGATAAGATATCACAACCTATGTGTGATTTCCAGACAT